ATGCTGTTGACAGCTTTATTCTAATTTTGTTCGGCTCTGTGTAAGAAAGAAAGTCGGAATAATGAGGGTTCCTCTTGAAGGTTACATACCATTCAGATAACCTTATTATTACTGAAATCGGTGGTCATTTTGTGAACTGCAGTTAGCATCCAGTTGCCTGCATGTGTGTTAGCCAGCATCCTGGGCACGATATGAATTACACAAGACTGAATGCAAATAACTGATATGTAAATGATTTAGGTACTTAAAGTTACCGTTATTATAGTTTAATGATAAACTACATTTCAAAATATTGACAATATTTGACACTCCAGTGCTAGCATGGCACTAAAACAAAATGAGTAGATATTTCTGGCTATTTGAGACAAAAGTTTGAGCAACATTATGTTATAAGGTCCTTCCGCGAATTGATGCTCTGCCTATGTTGACCTGTGTTTTCATTTGCATATTGCAAACCTTTTGTTGTTTTTTGTGTGTTCATGTGGCGTTTGTGTTGGAGCTTGTATTGTGCTAGAAGTTGGTTGTTTGCTGACATAAGAATACAACACTGTTGGCATTGCAGGGGAACAAGAGAAATTGAGACACGGTGCTCTCAAGCATGAATATCACATCCAATTTGAAAGAATTGTCCTGAGTCCTTTAAGTCGGGATCCAAAGGAGCTTCAGAGCTGTAGATTCATACAGTAGCATTGCCAACCACCGCCATGTATCCTCTCGTACCCCTCCCTCTCTTTCTTCTCCACAGGAAGAGGCCACGGATCAACAGGATAAACAAGTAGAAGCAGAACAATGTCCACTCTAGTTCTTTATTCTGGGCTTCATATGAGGAATTGTTCCTTGTGTTGAAGAAGAGAGTGGACTGTGTGTGACAACGACCTATAATATTTTTTACTATGTTGTCTTTGTGGGGTCATTTATCTGTGAATGTAAACAATGTTTATAACAAAATGTAAAATACGATCAAGAAATTAGTTTCCTTGGCTGATAAAGGTGATTGAGAAAGGTGTCATTTTTTAAATACTGTTACAATCCATTGGCAATAAAAACGTTTAATTATCTTTCCTTCATATGGTACCTTTGCTAGCAACACAGTGAATACTATGAAGGGCTCTTACGTCATTTCAAATACCAACCATAGCGTAACATCATGTATGTCTTAGACATTCAAAAAGAGAATTCGCAGTGGATGATCATTAGCTGGAAGCTATTAAGTGATTCATTCTTTCTGGATAGCTGAGCAGGGTTGTCATGAACACCACTCCCACACCAGCACCTCAATTAAAGACCATAGTTGTGAATGTCTCAGTATTTTTCTTTGACGCACACAGATCACATCAGCTCTCTTTTATTGTGGCTAATTTACAGTCAAGAGTCAGAGGAAATGAATCTGCTGCTTCTGCCAAAGCCATGTTACACGCCCCAACCCTTTCCATTCAGACAGGAAGGTAAAGAGCTGTTACTAACAAGCTTCCTGGAGCTGAAAACTCTCTGCAACACTGATTGTGGCGATGCTGCTTCTCAGGAATCTATAACACGGGGAGGAGGTGAGGAGGAAAGGCTGTCTCTGACTTTCACAGATTGAGCTGTTAGAACTGTGATTGCTGTTGTAATCTGTGAGGACTGAACTGGGAGCAACACTTTCTCAATCTACCTCAGAGTTATTTGTTGGCAGAGACAGTTTTTATTAGTTCAGGGGAAGAGTGAGAACAAGTAACAATGTCTTAAAATAACCGCACTCTCTTATTTCTCTTGGAAATACCCAGTGTGTGTGTGTGTGTGTGTGTACGCCTGGCTTGCAACTTTACATCTATGCATGTACGTGCCTGTTTGAGTGAATACACATGCACAATAAAGCAGCATCTATGTAGTTGATGCGTGGCATATTACTTATGTTTCTTTTATCATTACATGTAAATTATGTATCATTTTATCTGCTGTATGTGATTTTAGTTTTTGTATTTGCTGACTTTCATTTAAAAAGATATTGTATTCATTTGCTTCTTGTCTCATTTCACATTCTTGAGTTTTTGTCCTCTTTGTGACACATTTCGTAATTACTGTTTTGAAAAGTGCTTTATAAATAATGTTATTATGCTTTTATTATAAAATAACATGTTTGAAGTGATTTAATGGTACTAGTGCAGTCCCTGTCCTAAACATTTATGCTTGCTTGGCCTGTGTTAATGATCTGGAGCCACTTCAGAATCATCCTGGTCATCCTGGTCCTCAAGCAGTTCTATGACACACTGTTTGTGTGCTGGATGTTGTGTGCAAAGCTTTTGATTAATTGTCAATGGTGCAGAGTGAAGTTGTTCATCCTACCTGTTTTTTCTGCAGAGAAGATTTTATAGTGAATGTTTTTCATATAATGAAACTGAATTAATTTTTTTACGTGGTTTATATAAAAGTCTGAATGATTTACTTAACTGCTGTTAATTTTTCACGTCAGCCATTTCATTTCATGGAATAAATCATTGTTAACGACATGTAACATTAAATGAGTTATTCATTCCAGGCCTGGTTTGTGAAAAGCAGGGAGTTTAATTATAATATGGATAATTTTTCTGTGTTAATAACATTGATTTATAATAGACAGAATCGTTTTTTTAGGTGCTATTGTGCTACACAAACACAGGGATCAGAGAACAAATTTCCTTTCACTGTTTCATAAAAGGTGGTGGTTCAATTGCCTCTCTGTCTACCCTGCCCCCCTCCCTTTAGTACCCTGAGCAGAGTGCTGAATCAGACCTCTCTCCCTTTCCTCTAACATTGACCCATTGACTCCTTTTGGCCCAGTGAACTTCTCTACATGTTCCACTGGTGACCTTTGGTTTCATTTAGGTTGATATATCACACCAATCCATATGCATTGTGCCACTGCCTTCAGTGGGGAGGGACACTGAGGCTCAGGAGGATATTTTCAGTGATTACTAAAGGTTAGGGACCCTCTTTTTTCATTACACAGCTGAAACACATGGGCTCTCTCAGCTATATGTTATCCCCAGTCGTGTGTGGTTTGATGTATTAGTAAAAGTGAAAAGCAAGAAGATAATATTTAATATGGGATCATGTCTTATTTAGTCAATAGCTGACAGTTGGGACATAAAACAGCTGCCACACAGGCAGAAATGAGAAGATTTGGCTGTTAAGTCCGACTGTAAAACCGGTTGTATTATGGCACAGTGCTTGTACCTTGCTGGAGGTTGCCATTAATTCACATTTTTCACCACCGCTGTTGGTTTTCCAATCAACCGGTGACAGCGGTGGGTAGATTAGCTTTGATTTATAGCCCAGCCTGTCCCTCTTACCTGCTCCAATAAAGATCCCCACACCAACCAAGACTACAACAACCCATCACTCACATTAAGGGGGTCCTACTCTCAATCCATAACAGAGGCCGCCTTTTTTCCAACAAAATTGTCCTTCGCCCTGAAACCTAATCCTTAAAGGAGCAGTTAACCCAATTTCCTCTGGTTTAAAGTCATATTTAACAGATCTTGAATGTTTAGATTCTGCAGTATCCACTGCTGGGAATAAAGTGGAGGTAAATGTAATATTGTTTGAGGAATGCACACTTCTTCCATTACCATTGCTAAAAGTGCAAGAAATGTATTTACTTTTTTTTCATTTATCTATTCATTCATGTATTAATTTATTGCCTGGGGTGAATGTAGTGTATTCTATTCAATGTTATTAATTTAACTGATTACCCTCATACAGTGAGTGGGATAAGTTCACTATATCCTGCATTTAGGTTCTTTAGATGTGAAATTACAGTCATCCCTATTATTTTGGGGTGCTGGCTAAAGTAGATGTGCTCTTTGGGGGATTGAGCATGTGAACTAAAAAATCATCCCATTCTTTCTGAATACAATATAACAATTAATGTTGGAATATGAATACATCCATCATCACAGTGTGTTAATGCTATTTTGTGTGAACTTAGTTACAGTCTGTTTACAAAAGACAGTTAATGTAATGGTTAATGTAATTATCTGTAATTTATTTATTCTATTGGTCCATATGTGTGCTGTATTCATGGCTGTACTTGTGTTTAATTTGAGATCAATGAGGGTTTTTAGATTTTATTTAGCTACACAGATTTACAGAAGGCTTGGAGATATTCACCTTACACTGTAAATTCTGCATGATCGTTTTTGTACTTTTATTTGGACTGTAAAAACCCCAATAAAAGAAAGAATTTAAAAAAGAAAGTTTCTCTCCTGCAGATGTGTCCAGGCATTTTAATCTTAAATCCCTTTTCAGTAGAGCAGGAAAGGGATGACTATAACTACAATAATAATAAAGATTACTTTAAAAAAAACTTTAAAATCCATGGCAAAAAATGAAAATAAAAGCTATTCAGTTCGGTTTAATTTTATGCGCCAAATCCTAAAATAAAAAAGACCTTAATATTTATCTAGGAACCCAACATTTGCCACAACCACAACATTTCGTAACTGAGTTTTCATTGAGCCACCCCATCTATTACGTCCATCTGGCCTGTAGATTATATTGATCATCGGTAGATTGCTCCCATTATACAAAACAGAATCCCTCTCTGCCATTAATAATCATCAATACACACACACACACACGGGACTTCATGTTACACAGGCTATATTGTGATCAACCGTGGGAGTGTAACTCGGAATCTAAACAGAAAATGATCAGAACATCACAACCAGGAGCAGCCGCACGGTGGAATGCGTGGTATGCAACCTTTCATACACAAACAACAACAGAGGTGAAAACGCCTTTTTGATGTTGTCTTTCTTGGGGGAATATGGACATATGAGTGGACAAAAAAACCCAGGTTGTATTTTAATAAAACTGAAAATATACTTTGAATATCAATTTAGCCAAACATAAACGAACTGCGATGTGTTTTGGAGGAGTATTGTTAAAAAGTCACCCCTACTCCAGGAGAGCGAATGGTTCCTCCCGCCGTAGCAGTGCCCGTCCTGCGCGGCCCCGACTGCAGATCAATGAATCCAGTCAGGGCAGCGGGGCTGGGCGGCTCCAAGTTGGGACGATTTACGGAGCTTTCTATCGCCGGATAGTCGACGACCACACGGACATGTACACGGCTAATATGCGCAGAAACATCTCCTCGGGTCCTTCAGCGGAGTAAGGAGGACATTCGCGTCAACCACTTTCACTCTTGTACGAGAAGTTTGACGTATTTCGCGACAGGTCTGTGGCTTCAACTAAAGAAACAAAAACACCCTCCCTTTTCCGAACCGAGGATGATTTTTGCCAACACTGGAAACCCACTGAGGACTCCATATCGCAAACAGGTAAACAAAATGAAAATCGCCACACATAGCTATCGAGGTGTCCCAATTTGCTGTTTGACATTAGCTTACAGTCAAAAATAAACTTAACGCACAACGTGAAAAGAGACAACAACTTGTTTTTTACCAATGTCGTGTGAAGTGGACGTGTTGTGTTCACGTGTCTGATCTGAGATCCAGACATAATGAGAATACCTGCTGCTCTGACAGTGCTGGGGTAGACACAGGCCGATCTCTGGAGTTGATGCTCTGCTAATGTCAAGGCTCCACTGTCCAAACAGAAGGCCAGCCCTCTCCTAAAGTGACCCTCATCTATTATGTAGTATCTCTAATGATATACAGTGTACACTCAACCAGTGTCCATTCAAAATGTCCTTGCATGGTTTGGATCAGTCCACCTTGTATTTGGTTTCTGTTTTATCACTGTGGGGTGTTATAGCCAATCCCAAACGATTTGAAGTGTGATTCAATATCATACATGTGCAGCATTCTTATACTGTTTATATTTTGTTTGCGTTCTATCTGTCTGTCTATCTATCTGTTATAGTTTGTGTGTTTATAGTGTATTTAACTATATCTTTTCTGCTGCTGTAACTAGGTAAATTTCCCCATAATGGGACTAATAATTGTATTTTATACATTCTAAAAAATGTGATCGAACACATTATTTTTACCTTGCAGTATTAGGTTTCAGAAATAAGTGTCTAATTTCCTACAGATGCTTTGTCCACTTTGTCCCAGTTCCAATTACATATAGATTTAAGAAAGAAAAAAGAAAACTCCCTTTAGCCAAAAGATTTGAATAAGCGTATCTACTCTGTCTTGCTCATGCTGTCGTCCTGTGGCTAGAGCTCCATGGGCGAGGCTTGTTACTGGAAGCCCTGTGTATTTCCAGCTCGGATATGACGGGGCTCTGCTAGTCTGGAACTGGCTGATAAGATGCTGTCCTCTCCCCCCATCACAGTCTGTCACAGTCCCACTGCATCTGAGCAGAGTCAAGCATATGAATGAAAACAAAATTTACTTTCAGTCCCAGAGAGAAAGAGAAAGTTAAAGTCACCCGAATCCTGAATCCCTGATAGTGAAAATGGAGGTGTTGCAGGCATTTTTCTTTAAAGAGGTAATTGTCTTGTGTGTTTGTTCATATGTTATAAACTATAAACTAACAATTGTGTGATGTATTTAAAGCTCACGAATGCAGTGCAGACTGATGATAAAGGCTGATAAACGTTAAATACAATAAAAACTTAGAGCTTTTGTATATTTAAAACACTTAGTCTCTCAACCCATTGATTTCCCAGCTTAGGTTTGTGTTTATTTTTGTCATCTCTTGTCCTGAAGTTCAACTTAATGCTGTTAGTCTTGGCACTAATTAAAACATGTTTTCTCTTTTTTAATCTGAAATGAGTGCTTGTAACCCTTAACATCCCTGACCAAGTCAAATTAGCAAGGCTTTATTGAGATGCTAGCCTGCATCATTTAGTGTGATCATTTGATGAAAACCATATATTTAGGGACTGGAGATGTCACGATACCAAAAATGTAGTAGATGATACGATACCATGAAATCTCCACGATTCTCGATACCCAATACGATACCACGGCAAAAAACAAAACAACAAATCCCATTTACACACTTAATTTCAGATTTCAGCTATCAAGTGTAGCTCAATGACTGTAAGAAAACAGCAGACATCCCATGACATCCCTATGATGGACATATTTTCCATGTTGAGGAAGGTAACTCCAATCTAGAATCATGATACCCTATCTGCCTTTCTTTGGTATGTGAGATTAATTTGAATTCAAAGTATTTCATATTGTGCCAAACTGACCTCTTTTTTTTGCCTGACATTGTGTTCTGCAATTCTTGACAATAACTTCACAAAAATCTGGAAATGCAGCCATGGTTCTGTTATATGTGCTAGTCATGCAAGCAGCTGTGATATATTTCACACCTATTCAGTATAGTGATGAGTTTTTTCTTTCCTATCTTTCACCTTTTGAAGTAGCAACAGTATCAAAATTGCCCCAGTTGGTGGTTAAATGTCATCTCCTCTGAATAATTTAGACTTATGTAAAGTTCCATGCTCTAAATCAAATAATCAACTAGTGATTAGGGTGAAGGGAATAAGGACTTTTTCCAAAAAGTCCATACCTATGCTTCCTCAGCTCTCTGCTTGCTATATGCTTTACAAGCTCTTCTTTCATGTTCTAATTTCTCAAACATTCTTCCAAAAAGAGCTATCAGCAGTTACATTGGCCATTACATTGCATTTTCTATAGAGTATTGGGTGTTGGACACGGAGATGACTCACAAGAATAGAAATGTAACCCCCCCCTATAAAAACCAATATACAACGTTCTTCAGACTTAGTAATTTTAGAGGGATGAAAAATCTCTTGAGTGCTGTCATTGCCTTCTTCCATGTTTTCCTTAATGCAAACCAAAAATATGCTACATGCTGTGTCTGCAGACATCCGTCTGCAAGATTGTTGTTCACGTTATTTGAAGCACACAACAGTTTTTACCATGTTTTTCAAAGTTTGGCAAACAAACACAGTTTAAATGATAATTAAAATATGAAAATGTAATACTTACTGTCCAGTTCAGTGTGAAATCAGTAACAATTTCATCCTTACATACAAGACAACATAACACCTATATCAAAAAACTCAGGAAAATTAGCAAGCTGCACCAACTGTGGGCGACTGATTCAGAAAATTCAAGCAGCTTGAAAAGAAGTTTGAAGTTCTGCCTTGAATTCACTTCGGAGCAGCTACTGTACTAGGCGCCGATCCACCAAATGCTAACAGACGGACCCTGTTTTTTTATGAAAGGGATTACATCAAATATGGAGCATCCAGGATGTGTCCTAACGCAAATGGATTAGTTACGGAGGCTCCCAAACCAGCCTTCCCTAATTACACTTCTCACTGTCAAAGCACTGGCGCCAGACAGAAAACATCAACTCCAGCCAAGACTTGGACTGATGTTGTCCGGCAAATCCAGCAAAAAATCAAATTTAAGTGTATGTTCGCCCACTCCTGGACTCTCATTGCAAAACAGACACAAGCCACTGGCTCTGAGGGAAATGTGCTAATACTAACTAACTACTACTACTAAAACTAACTACTATATTTACTGAGTGGAGATAATCATACCACTAGCATTAAGGCTAACCAAAATTCAAGAAATCGACCTAAACCTCCACCAGACCGAGGGATACATGAAACTATGCTAGCTCTACACCTAATACGGCAGGCACTACTCTGAGTGGGGACTCTATAACCAAGCATGTAAGAATGGCAAATATTGAAAATGTAATTGTATGACACATTTGTCTGGGAATTTCAATTTCTTTTGGAATTGTGGAGACATATTGTAACCTGATGGGATTCATCTAAATACCCCTGGATCCTGAATATTCTACTCTGCCAATCTACGTCATGCACTTGGTTAGCGATACCCATACAAGAATGTGTGAATAAGAGCGAAGCAGTCAGACAGCCTGTATCTCTCTCCCCTTACCTGGCCCTCTGCTCTACACCACCTATGGCATTCAAATGATGTCTTTCTGTTATTCAAGGACCCAAAAACTCCCCTATTCCCCCTGCAACAAACTCACCTATCTTCTACCTATCACCTACCTTCCTGTCACGTAATCCCTCATCAAATTAATGAACTATTAAACAGCAATAACTACAGACTGAGGTGTCGTCCAGGGATGATACAGACCTAATGCCTCTTCCTTAAACATACCGGTTATATAAAGTGGCATAGTCACACATTGTTGCAAACAGATCATCTGGTAAACGTCACAGTAATCTTTATGTTGTCAATGTTCAGTCACAGCCAGTGGGCCTGTCATATTCCCTACAGCTGAAATAGTCAGACATAACAGAACAAGAGGAGGGGTTGCTGACATTTTCTCCAAACAGTTTATGTGTAATTACATTGACCTGGGTGAATTCATCATTTGAATATCCTGCTTTTAACCTCAAAGCAGAATTAACAGTACATTATGTCCATTACCAAGAAATCAGAAATGATCTCACTTGATACCACCAGCTATGAATGAATAATAGTAAAAGGAGACCTTCGACCATCCAGCCACACCCCCACAGCTTATAGCCCCAAAATGCGAAGAACTGGAATTGTCTGTTGGTAACAAAATGGCCAACTTTAATTAGAGCCATAATTGCTGCTCGTGTAAACACACAAATCCTCAGCAAACCTTGTAAAAAAGATGTAACCATGGGAAAATGTACCTGTATTATGTCAACTGAGCTTTGCAGATTGTCAATGAGTATAACTCTTCCACAGCTTGACCTAGCATTTTTAAGTGGGTGTTCAGTGGGGTTTGTCATGTCCTGAAGGTTATAAATATATCTTTAGATTGACATCTTCCCAGATACCTTTCCTTTGAAACCCAACCTAGATGGTAATGCACTGAGCATCTACAGGTGATATTCAACCAGTCATCTGTTAATAGGATACTTGAAAAGAAAGTTTCAGTGCAAGTGAAGTACTTAATTATAGAAAACCATTTCCAGGCTGTTGAACATACACAGTGCTGAAATTACTTTTATGAATCAGTGATTTCAGACTAAACTCTGATGAAAATGTGGTCTCAATTCCTGTCCTCTTAGACCCAAGCACATTGTCTGATACAGTTGACCATGAATCAATCACCTGGAAATGTGGATTGGTCGGCCTTAAAACAAACTTTTATCAAAAATCAAATTATCAGGGGAAATTAACTCCCAAGATTACCTCTGAGGTTATGAATTTTGGAGCACTATCAACAAGCTTTATGCAATGCTCATGTCTCAAAATTACTTCCGGTCTAGGATGTTGCTGGCATATGGCTTGAGGCACTGGACAGCAATTGCGGTTTTGACCAACAAAAATGGTGTGAAGTCAGAGGGGTAGTATGGTCTACTTGTAAGCATTCACTTCTCTGCTGAAAGACATTGTTTTTTCTTACTTGGCGAATTTGCCCTTGTAATGGCAATCTGCCAAAGTGCCTAGCTTTTAAAGGGGCTGCAAGGTGGCACTCTTTGCTTCATTAATTACATTTGACACCCGAAACACAACCTTTTTGATTCCGCCACAGCTTTCTTTTCCACTGTTAAACTTGCAAAACTATATTTGGAAACTGGAAAATGCATTTTCGCCATTCCATTTAGACCATGCACTCAGATTGCTTCCCGTAATATTAAGAATTTAATATGGTCTAGCCCCTTATATACAAGGTGCTTGGACCAAGTTACATCACAAACTCCCTTGTTAAGTATCTGCCTTCAAGAATACTGCAATTAGCTGCTGTTGGTTTATTAGGATGAGCTAAAAACATATCGCTTCACTTTAGCCTACATTTGGCTACATTCTATATATGAAATGAGCAATACAAATAAATTGATGTATGATTATTATTATCATTTGTTTTTATTATTATTGTTGTGGTTGTCATAACTATGAGTTGGAAAGCAGAAGGTCAAACTTTTTTTTTCACAGTGAAGGCATGTGAGGCAGTCAACTGGCCAGGAACAAGAAAAAATCCTTTAGGCTGAAGTCCAGACTTGGGTTGCTCTATCCTATCACCACCTCATGCCTGGGATTCTATCATCTTCTTCTCAGCTTGTTATTCCTCAGAGAGAGAGGGGGGAGGGGGTTAGTGTCAGATAGTAGAGAAGAACACAAATCCCTGAAGGGGAAAGCTCTCTCACACCACAACATCTGTGTCTTGTAAACATGAATCACAAAGTTGCCCAATCACAGGGATTTTTGCTTGTTTTTCCCCATTGCCCTTGGTCACTATTTTATGCAGTACTTTTACTTGAACCAAAACTGAATAGCATATGGGGATTTAATGTTGCCTGACTGTGTGTTTATATAATCTTGAAGATAGCAATGTTCTTAACTTCAGTCGTTCCTCTTGTCACTTAAATCGATCTGATAATCAAAGTTATCTGTAAAAGGGGCATTAAGGTTTAGAGGTCTGGAAGTAGACCAGAGATAATTGTTTATGTTGACCCACAAATACCTGGTTCGAAAGCCCACAACAGTGTGACCTCTGTGTGACACTGATGTCAGAGCTACAGGCCCCAGTGGACCCTGATTGTGTTGTCAGAGATGGTGCGATGCAGGTTAGCCTGCAGCTATGGATCACTGCTCTGTAAAACAGCAATACTTGCACTGAACAGAAACCCACAATGATGGTGATACTTATAATGGTGTGCCCAGGGATTTTAATCCTTTTGACCCTCTTATGTGACTGTGACTTGTTGAGGGCATGGCACACAGTGAGTCTTGTCTTGGACATCATTTTCATGAGACTTCATGAAAGAGGGAAATCTTCTTCTGATACAATGAACTCAGTATAAGTTTTAATAAGAATATTTTCAAATAAAAATCAACACCACATAACAATATGTGAAATCCATATGATCAAAAACACTGCCCCGTACCAAACAGCAGTGAGTAGTAGCTAGCCAGTGCGCATATTGCAGAGCCAAACAGAGCTATAGTAAGAGTGAAGACTAGATTTAAATCAAGTGGCCAGCAGCACGACTCCAGATGTAAACTGTTGCCCTGGACCAACTTTGTCACGTCAGTTTTTAAGGTGATAAGATATCAATAGTGCATGCAGATTTAACCCCCCCCCCCGGCTATCTGGTGTCCATTGACCTCCAGCAGTCAAACTAGCTGCAGTGATGCATTGACAAACAACATACGCTACGGAGGGAACCAGCACAGCGTGTCATCAGAGTCACAATTCTACCCAGCTACAACCGTCTGTGATGGTGGTGTGGTCAGAGATGAAACAAACTTGAAACAGCAGCCACAGTGTTTCACTATCTTTAGGTTAACTTTGTTCTTTTACATTCTCAATGACATGCTTAAATGTTAAACTAATGTTCCCTGAAGTGTTACATCTTTTAATGTTTGAATTATATTCTGAAGAGCACCTTTTGTGACTAAATGTACGCGTAATCTCAATATTATCTAACAATGATAGACAATATTATTTAATCAACACCCAGGATTAACCTCGTTTTTTTTTTTCTCTGTCCTGCTCATCCCAGCCACCGGTTGTCCCATCGTCACACCCCATGGCTCCACCCAGCCCGAGCACCAACAGCAGCACCAACAACAGCAGCAGCAGCAGCACTGCAGGCTGGGACCAGCTCAGCAAGACAAACCTCTACATCCGAGGCCTGTCCCCCTCAACCACAGATCATGACCTGGTCAAGCTCTGTCAGCCGTGAGTACCGCACTTCCTCTCGTCATTATCTGGTATTGATCAGACATTGATTTTTTGGCCTACTTAGTTTTCAGGTCTCGTTTAAATTTGCGGTCAGTCATGTATTGATTTCTATTTGGTAAAATATAAATAGGTTTGAAAAAGTTAAAGGTAAGATGTACATGTTCCATTTACTAGATACATTTTCTGATAGGGTTGTCTATGTAGTAAATTATTGTTAATATTATCTTTCTTTTTAATGATAAATTGGGCAAGATTTAATTACTTTTTTATTTAAAAAATGAGTAGTTTATATTTGAGATTTTAACAAAGGCTTTGTTTTTATATAAGATTAAAAATGGAGGACAGAGTGTAAGATGAGCTTGTTGACAGCATGTGGAGCACAGCAGCAGAGATTTCATATATCATGTGTGGATAAAAGCGAAATGTAGTATCAGTGGTGGCCCACAGCTCTCTTTGTGCACTGAATGCTTTATTATTTCCAAGCAGAGAGAGAGAGACCACCCTGGTGGTTTGTTTGCTTTATTTTCCCAGGCCCCATCTACAAACAAGACCTTCTTTTTTCTTCTGTCGCAGGGTCACACTGAATGATCCTGAATCGTGATTGTAACTATATGTACTGTTTACGTACTACAGTCTGATGGCACTGTAAGAGCGAGCACACGGTGGCCACACATAATATGAGATTAGAGTTCAGATGATGGGAAGCTCTTTCACCCAGTTTAGCGTTTACTGTAATCCCAGGCTAAAATACCCTCCCGGTTGATTGCAGGGCACATTGGGGCTTTTGTCACTGTCACTATTTATTGTATGCATACATTTAAAATTGATATGTGTAGATAGATTGACAAAATAATTATATTTCAAATGAAAGAATTACTTTATGAAGAATCAAAAGACAACCACTTGTGTGACCTTTTTAAACATTGATGTACTTACAATCGGACCTGTATTCAAAATATTAGTATTATACATTTTAAAACGTGTAAAACATTGATTCAATTAATAAACTAGTAACACTCAGAAGAAGTCACATAAAAAAGAGAGAGATCATTTGGTTCAGTACTGTCAGTTTGTTTTAACTTTTCCTGTGTCAAAGCTTCTTCTAGCTCTTCTAACCCTTAGAACAGACATTATAGTAACACTGTATTCTCTGATGTTACCACTAATGCTTTGCTGTGGCCTGCATGCATAACAACAATACTGCTCTGCTCAAACCATGGTAACACCATGAACCAGACCAGACTATCAAATTTGATAATATCTTTTTTTTGTGAGGCAATCATTTTCATTTACATACCAGGATTTATACGTTTGAAAATGTAACTTCTGTGAAAACAAAGTACCATTAAAAAAAAATTCCAAAGTTTTCACAGACCATTGTCCCTAAATATAAAATATGTTAAAATACCACATAAACTCCCCATATACAAAGATAAGATAAATCGATAATCCGATATATCCAACAGACGTTTAAGACTGTTTATATAGTTTCATTTACTGGTTCAGTTTGGCTGTAAAAGGGGACTGTTAAGCTTTGCACTCACATGGTAGGGATTTTCAGCACCACATGGAAACCACTTCCTGTTTCTCATATTTTCACGGTGATGTCATAGATTGTTGCTCAACCGTCTCTGTGTGTTTTATAACTGGCTGTGTCTGGTATATAATCCTGTTAACAATGCCTCGCCTTTCTGCTCCTCTCGTAGGTATGGTAAAATTGTATCAACAAAGGCTATCCTGGACAAGACCACAAACAAATGTAAAGGTGTGTGATTTTAATTCTTTCAGCTTCACAACAACACCCTCTTTTATTTGTCTTCTATTTAAGTATGAATAAAGCCCTGCTGGATATTCCGCCCCTTGCTGCGAGAGAGAAAATCACTTCTACACTTTCACAAAATACAACCAATGTGTGAATCCTGCCTAAATCTTAAGTCATTCAACAGCCATGTATTTGTCTCAGATGATCTGGTCACGTGAGGAAACAAGGCAGCCAGGCTTCTCAAAGCTTCCTCCCAGCTCTTGTTATTTTAAGCCTCAGCCCTGTTGGTGTGTCTGTGCTGTGGGTGGATCCCAGGGAGGATGCCGCCTCCTCTTCTCTCTACTGAATGACAGTGCTGGTTTTGTTCCCGTCCTAGTAGACGGTCCACCTGGCCAAAGAGAGATTTACCGATTCTCTCATCTAGAGCTGTTGGGATTAAGAGAATACTTTGTCACTCTCCTCTGGATTATGCAGATGAAAGTTAATCAAAGGTTCTCAGTGAAATTGGACACCATTAGATGCCTTGTAAAGCTCCAGCTGAATTTTAAATAGAACCCTGGAAATGGCTGTGACAATAACCTCATGCCACCTTAAGACTCACAAAAATCTTTTTTTTAATAAAGTCTAATTTTATTCTTTTTCAAGAACTAACTGTATACATTAAACTTTTAGTACCAATGTGACCCATTTCTAGCGCCAAAAGAGCTCTGACATATTCGCCATCACTCAGGTTAAATATAGCAGCTGCAGGGCGGGCACTACGGTTTCACCCTGTTTGTACCTCCCAGGACAAAGAGCCGACCTGAGCCATGAATGTCACACTGGTATCTGCATCCTCAGCACTTTCTACCTCTACTCCCACACACACAAAGACACAAACACACACACACACACACACACACACACACACACACACACACACACACACACACACACACACACAAGCACACAAGCACATATACGCATAAAATGCGCAGATGTGTGTGAATACTTAAGGCTTATACACAATTCTGTCGAATTGACTCTGTTGCCTGACATGAACATCCTAAGAAATGTAACCACACATTGCTGTGACACAGACCACAACTGTGATTGGTCCACTTGGTCCAGACTCTCTGTGGCCAGACAAGCACACAAAACAGTCCAACTGTCTTACACATCACCTCTTCTGACGTCCTCTCTCTTTCCTGTGTGGCAGTAATTTCAGTAAAAGTAACTCTAGATCAACATTTATAAGTTCCAGCTCCAACATGATCTGCTGTTTCAGTTCACAAAGAAGACACAGTCACACCAGCACACAAGTATAAATACTCAACACTATAGATAGCTTGCATAGGTTCTGTGTTGATCTTACACAAAAGTATTAACCAGAATTGACTGTTCAGTAACGATGTAAATTTAAAGCTTCCATATAGTAACACAAGAGATAAGCACAGACCATCACCATCCACAGCAGACAACAACACAGTGGCTCTTCCATTATGCTTGCCATAGATATATTGTCCTAACTGAGCTGCCCGTCTCCGCAGGATATGGCTTTGTGGACTTTGACAGCCCCACTGCAGCCCAGAAAGCTGTGGCTGCCCTGAAGACGACTGGTGTCCAGGCTCAGATGGCAAAGGTGAGGGCTTCTTACTGTGTAATCCTCATATCACACCCATACAAGTCACTCATTCACACTGTTTCTCCTCCATCTGGATTGTATGGCAGCTCAAACCTAATCCTTGTGGTTTTAAATAGACTGGAGTCCTTAACTGGTATGTGTAGGACCCCCAACGCTTGGTCTGTAGATCTGCTCGGTGACTCTGAGATCAGTGAATTTAATCATGACAGACGACAGTGGTAATTTGCACATGGGGGTGTATGGAACTTAATTTGGTTTAGGCATTTGCACCATATTTACTATTTATTAAATATTATGTGGATTGAAAAGATTTTCAGTCTTCGTGTGACATGAGAACAGTGTCATTGATAAGTCAGACTGAGTCACTTTTAGAAAAGTACATTTATTTTTTAATCATAGTTCCCTTTCATGTTGGCACTCTTAGTTCAGCAATCGTTGAGGACCCTGATCTCTTCTTTGTTAGACAGATGTCGTCAGTGGCTTTTAGGATGGGGTCATCTTCTAGGCTCGCTGTGCCATGTTTAAATTCAGTAGTCCACCTGTTCGCCATGTTGTAAGTAGGGACACCCTCTCCTCGTGTTGCCACCACAACCTTGGACCTAAGGAGGTCCCTGAGGTGATAAGCCCTTTACTATGGTAGCGGACGACCTCACAAAGTCATTGTTTATTTTCTCAGATGTTGCTGACTTGAGATTTTAATTTTAATTCCAGAGTTATTCACTCTGAAACTTTGTGCATAATAATTTCTGCATATGTAAGAAGAGTTAAATTAATCTCCTACCTAAGGCCACAAACTTATCATTCACACTTTATACTTCTTGAATCAAGAGTTCATGTGAAAGAAAGGTCATAAGTTTATGCCCTTTTACCCAGTTTATCATTTAGCTAAATCCCTGGTGAAAATATCCTTGTTGCTGACTGCAGGGTCCATTGTAGTTTTTATTATTGTCACTGTAGATCATAGAGGCTCTTTTTTAACATGATATTTAGAGACAGAATCTCTTTTCACATGATTTAGTACAGAAAGTCTAAGAATTGAGCTCCAATGGGCACTTGCAGGTGTGTGGTTGGGATTTTTAGTGCATCATGGAAACCACTTCCTGTTTCTCATATTTTTACAATGATGTCATGGACTCTTGCTTAACCCTCCCTCTCTGTGTTTTTGCATCAGTGAGACATTGCTATATAAACACAATTTCAGAGTGCCACCTCCTGCATCTGAGCTACCAGATGTTTTTTGTTCATTGGTTTTATTCTATTTCTTTTCCAACTGCAATAAAGTCAGTTTGACTTCCTTTGCACTAAAGCAGAGTTATGACAGTGCATGTTTCTGCTGAGCCAAAAATGTTTAAATTTATTTTGTAATAAGCTGCTCTGCTCTTACATGGTTTATAAGGTATGTTTACTTGCAAGTGTTGCAGGCTTTTACACCACTGATGGTTCCCCGAGGTTTTATGTCAGCCAACAGCTCCCAGCCTGGCTGACAGAAAGATTTCAGATGTGATAGCATTTAGATATTTGTGTTGCTGACAGTGGGATGACATACCAGGGGAATTATCTGGCACGTGATTGTGTTTCTTCAATTAAGTCAGTCGAGGAGCTCAGAGTAGTCACGCAGAAGTCTTATAGATCTATAAAGTATCTCCCACCTAAAGGAGATTTTTGCTTAAACTGCCGAAATATGAATATTCATTCTCTAAATGTGTTTAAAACATTTGTACAAAAGTCAAGAAATACAGATTAACACACCTTTCTTTATTTTTAATTTGGAGTTACTGTAGACTACCAAATTGATTAGTTTAGAATAGTTAGTTTTGGTTTTTAAAACACTAGTTGGCTCTATTTGTTGGAGTGCAGTTTATCAGATGATGGGGCCATAAAGTAAGGCCTGGACATTATACTTTTCCCTGACAGCAGAAAAGGAAGTAAATAATTGTGTGTTGTTATGGTAACAGGAACCAGTCAGGGAAAATGAGTTCCCATATAGCTCTGAGAGAGAGCTCTTTGCCTCATTTCTCTGTCTCGGGGTCTGTGGGGCTTCTTGACATGCCTCCGTGCACCCATTTTGCTTTTTTAATTAAAATAGAGCAGTGTTGAGGGCCATGCCTCAGTTTAATCTTTGTATTGTGGAAGGTAAATGCCATTATAAAGTGTAAGCCTTTCACTCCAGCTTTATTCTCACAATAGTAGAAGCTTGTTTGGGCTTAATGGACTCCTTGACAAAAGTCCCCTTTCCTGTTTTATTATCTGCACTGGCATCCTTCAATTGACATTCTCCCATTATTAGTAGAAAGCCAGGAAGTGGCCTGATAGGAATTTAACTTCTTTTTAGCTTAATTAATTTTAGTTTCAATGTGCTTATATACTTATTTAAGTTTGTCCCTGTCTCTGAATACATACAAGTGATTTGCTTAACTCTTATGTGACATAAGATATTAATTTAGGCACAGTGTGGAATTCATCAAGCTGTGTGGTTGAGCATTATAGAGAACAGCATTCCTATATCGTTTCTTATTTCTTCTGACCTTTCCATCAGTGCATTACTTAGAATAAACTATTCCATCCCTGTAGCCAACTCTGAATGCAACACAACAATGACGAATAGTAATGGTGAGAGGCTGCTCCCCTGGGACTAATCGCCACATCCTTTGTTTCTGCTGATGCTATTAAAACATGGCAAGAAATCAGCTGATGTGAGCCTTAAGCCACCGTGGGCTGCATGCAAATCACTAATTATCACTGCTCATATTGACCCTTTATTACCCTAAAATCCCCCAACAGAGAGACAGGAGGCAGTAGACATGTGCTAACTCCATTACTAAGATCTACAATATATTAAAAGTCTATTCAGTGTTTAGCCATTTTCAGCGATACATTATATGGGTATGCAAAAAACTCATTTTTTAAACATTTTACATTACTGCATCACTGAAGCAAGTTTGTATGGAACCGCTTATGAGAAGTTACATGCTAATGTATATGCAGCAAATGATTCCTGCTGATGTCACTTGTGTAATATCTTAATATCTTGATGCGCATAAGATATAACTTTCAGGCTCCATAAATTTGAATCTGATACTCAAACGTATATCTGTGTGTTTAACAGTGTGTTAATATGTTACCTCTGGCTTCTTTTCTCTCATTTTTGGACCATACAGCAACAAGAACAAGACCCCACCAACTTGTATATCTCCAACCTGCCTTTGTCTATGGACGAGCAGGAGCTAGAGAACATGTTGAAGCACTTCGGCCAGGTCATATCCACACGCATCCTGAGAGACTCCAGTGGAGCCAGCAGAGGAGTGGGCTTTGCCAGGTCAGCTACTTGTGTAATTTCTTTGTCAATGACTTGAGCAAATGGAACAAAAGATTTGTTTCTACTGATGCCACTTATACTGTAGGAATGTAATATCAGCAAATCTATGTAGAATCAAATATAACATAAAATTTGATACACAGTGACCATCTGAGGTGACTGACATCCTAGCCTGGTCTCTAATCAGCATTTTGTCCATTAGGACGTTTATTGGATGGCTTCAAAATAGACCACTTTACTGCAGTAAACAGGAGCAGACCACTGTGGAATGAAGAGATAGAGGAAATTATACAAGAAGCAATACTCCCTTTGCAACGTTAAGCCAAATAATATTAATAATATAAAAAATATTGCAGAATTAAGATGAAAGCTAATTATCTACACCTATTGTCATTATATTTAAAAGCATTACATGAAACACCAATTAAGAAGTTAAAAATACATAGGGTTTTGTTGATTCAAACGTGTTTCATTTCTGAAATTAGTAACAAAAAAATACATGACTATGTCGTCAATAACAAGGTAGAAGAACAGGTCACGTATGCACAAACGGAAACTCCTATAAAACAGTTTCACAATGACAGGATGATTTAATTATAGTAATAGTGCTGGCTTCTTCAGGCAGCACTTGCGTAACCGGACGTTTGACAGAAACAAAAATATCATAATGCATCTCTGGAATTTGTGTGTGTGTGTGTGTGTGTGTGTGTGTGTGTGTGTGTGTGTGTGTGTGTGTGTGTGTGT